AGAGAGAGAGAGAGAGAGAGAGAGAGAGAGAGAGAGAGAGAGAGAGAGAGAGAGAGAGAGAGAGAGAAAGAGAGCTAGAGAGAGAGAGAGAGAGAGAGAGAGAGTGTGTGTGTGAGAGCGGGAGAGTGTGTTTGTGAGGCATGTGTGTGTGATTGAGAGGGGGTGTTTATAAAGAAAGAATTAAACCCTATGAAATTTTATAATATTGGCTATGACACTTCTTTCAGTTACAATAGAAAATGAGCCTGTGTGAGTACGATATGGTAATATATATATGTTTAGATGGTGGTGATTTTCCCTATACATTTCCATTTATATTGACAACGCAGTTTCCAAGCTGATAGATACCAGTAACACTTCATCCCCTCATATCTTACCCATGATAAAGAGCAAAGCTACTATCTCAGCAAAATGATTTCAATGCATGCTCAATTTTCATGCAATTTTGCTCACAGAAAGCCATCATATCTTGATGATGCCATGGCAGTGCTAATAAGACCATAGTAAGTAGAAGAACCTGAGAAACAAGATGGGGGGGATGTGCAATGTGAACCTTATTTATATGGCTGGTATTATTTCTCCGGCAGCCGGAGAAGCAGCGGTGAAAACCATCGTTAGTTCTCCGGCCGCCGGAGAATTAAGAACAATTTTTCTTGTTAGATCTCTGGCGCCGGAGAAACAAGTGTTTGTTTTGCTTTGCCGTAGAAGGGGTAATGCTATCCCCCAGGCGTGGAGGGACACCGCAACGTGGCAGCACTAGTATTAGGATTAATATTATTAGTATTAGTGTTAGTATTAGTATTAGTATTAGTATTAGTATTAGTATTAGTATTAGGTTAGGGTTAGGGTTAGGGTTAGAGTTTTTGCATCATGATATCTGTCCCCACACCATAGAGTAATTTTTGTGGATCACAGAACCTATATATAGCGCTCCGAGATATATATATTTAGTGTTAAGGTTATCGTTGGAGGTGTTGGAGTTAGGCCGGTTACCGGATGAGTAATGATTTTGAAGTATACGTCAACTGTATCACGTGACCGTCCCTCCACGCCCGGGGGATAGCAACACCCCCGTAGAAGCAGTGCTGAAAATCATAGTTAAATTCTCCGGCAGACCGAAGTGTCCCGCCACCTCAACCCTAACCCTAACCCTTACTTCTGGTTTGTCCGTAGTTTGGCAGCATATAGTCTGCTTTTTGCTGGAGAAGCTAGTTTGATTTCTTGGTTTAGTTGTCCGGCTTGCCAGGGAAATAATCACTTCGTATTTATATACCACATCTTCATGTAACAACTGGAATACTCGTTTGCAATATATATATATATTTACAAATCAGTCTAATAAGATAATAAGCATGGGAAAAAACTGTTACGTATGACATTTATATGACAGCACATTGAGCACAACCCAACTTAGAACCTCTGGGACATAATAGTAATATGGTGTAAATGACTAAAAGTTATTATAACAGCATGTACGAATGGGTTGCACTTTTCATTTCAAAGCCTCTTGATAAACAATGTTTTTCGTGTTATTCTCTGGGGCAAATATGTAGAGATTCCTGGCGTCTCTAACTCTTGAGCTCCCCACGTACAGCTATCCATTGTGAGATCGTACCATGAATAAAAGAAATTCCATATATAGTATAGATAGAGACAGGCCAGCGAGTGGGCCGGGTCTGTGTCCACTGGATATTGTCTATATATATAGTGAATGCTTGGCGCGCAACCATGCACATTGAAATTAAGACATTTTTCTACTGAGTCAGAAAATGCGTAGCTTTCGCATCTGAACTCAACCTCTCAACTCAGTGAGTAGTACCTCTGAACTGGTCCTGGTTGTGCTGTGTTTTAGTATTGCTTTCGGTTTCACAATTAATACCAGCAGCTGATGAGGTGAGGAAGAGAAATAGTCATTGATTTTTCTGTGTGTGGCAGCACTGTACAGTGAGTGCTGACATTGTCTGAAGTAGAGTCCCTGTATACAGAGAGTTGCGCCATGACGAGTCGGAAAAAATCGGTCACGTGATCGCTGGACGGCATGTTGTTTCCAAATTGATCCTCACCGCTGGCGCTTAAGTACAGCGCTGTATGCACGGATACGCTGTACAATGGTCCGTAGTAATTAATTAGACTAATCGTGCTTCAATAAACTCAAAATTTACAGAGATTATAGCTAAGACATGTGTCTATGTGTATCTAGATTTCTAGAACTGCAAAACACATGTTACAGCTGGTGGAGTGTGCATGGAACGCATTTATCTTGTGAATTACAGCTGCTGTGTTTACACTAAGAAATTGTACAATTAAGCTATCATATGGCGCGAACGATTTGAGTTACTTTTCTAGAAATCTAGATACAGATAAACACATGTGTTATCTATGATCTCTGTGATTCTTGAGTTTATTGAAGCGCGAGTGATTTAATTAATTACCAAGTATCTACGCGCGGTATCGCACAAGTTAATATACGCACGGCTATGGGCGGTAAGAAAGTGTACAATTAAACTATCATATGGCGCGAACGATTTGAGTTACATTTCTAGAAATCTAGATACACATAGACACACGTCTTAGCTATAATCTCTGTAAATTTTGAGTTTATTGAAGCACGATTAGTCTAATTAATTACTACGGACCATTGTACAGCGTATCCATACAGCGCTGTACTTAAGCGGCAGCGGTGTGGATCCATTTGGAAACAACATGAGTTGGCGCAACTCTCTGTATATAGGGACCCTAGATACACTGTAGAGACAGAGAGGGTGTAGGGGGAGGGGTGTAGGGATGATACACTGTAGAGACAGAGAGGGTGTAGGGGGAGGGTG